TTACACTATACATTCACTGATACCCATATTTGTGCCTGGGGTTCCACAACGACAAACCACCTAAAATCAATAATAACACAACAAAAAGCCACAGTGCAACTTATCACACAATCCACTGCTAGACAACCCTCCACCCCCTCACTCTTCAAAGACCTATACCTACTGACTATACAAAACATTAACTCATACTATTGTACAACCTACATTTACAGAACAATAAATTCTAATATAAATCCCGACCCAAAACACTTTCTTGGCAGTTGCAACAGGACTTAGACACAACACTAGGCACAAAAACCTCTATGACATTCCCCGTGTAAGGCTAAATCTTTTCAAAAATTCATCATACATAAAAGGTCCCAAAATCTGGAACTCTCTACCAGAAATCTCCAGAACCACTGGTTCAGCATTTTTAAAACTACAGTTAAAAAACACCTTATCTCCTTAACCTATCCCAACCCATCATAAATACATATGTAAAACCTGTACATGCATTTGTTCAACATCATGAACATAAGTAAAACTTTTTCATCAATATAATCAATATATACTTGCTCTCAATATCTGTATTCATCTCAAATAAATGTCATAGGGGATATAAATAAGGTCTTGAGGATCTCTCTCCAAGAGAGAACCTGCAGTAATGGATTCAAATTAGACAAGTTTAGATTTAGAAAGGATATGAGAAAGTACTGGTTTGGAAATAGGGTAGTTGATGAGTGGAACAGTCTACCTAGTTGGATTATTGAGGCTAAAACCTTGGGTGGTTTCAAATTTAAGTTGGATAAATACATGAGTGAGAGGGGTTGGATTTGAGTGTGACTTGCATATGAGTGGGTAGAGTTATCAGAGCTTATTTCTTGGGTGGCATTGAAAATTGGGTTGGGCAAATGTTTTGTTAGTGGGATGGATTGTAAAGGACCTGCCTAGTATGGGCCAACAGGCCTGCTGCAGTGTTCCTCCTTTCTTATGTTCTTATGTTAAACATTAATCACTCCATTGTATCTGCCTAAGGTTAATAATAAAAAAGTATGTCTTCTCTACAAGACTTATTAAAGTCATATAGCATGACTTAATACAATACTCAAGTCTCTTGTATTCATTGTAACTCATCTAATGACCATATGTACTGTTATTGCCTTATTAATCTTAAGTTAATTTTAAGTTTGCCAGAAATGCTCTATATATAAAGGTGTTTGTACATACATGTATCAACTTGGCTTCTTACTTGACTGTCTTGTTGAACAAGTTTTGTCCCTTCCTTCATACATGTATCATATCAAAATAAAATATATTATTATTATTAACGCCTCGCACACACTATTGACAAACTAACCTTAACCTCTGATGAGTTCTGAGTGTTTTTCTACTGCCAGAGCCCAGCCAGGGGTCAGGCTCATCTGGTGCTTGCCTGCTCTGCCAGGATGTTACTGCTGGTGGTCCACTGACCCACTCCATCACAGCCTGGTTGATCCAGCACCTGGTGAAGATACTTGTCCAATTTCCTCTTAAAGACCTCTACACTTGTTCCAGCAGTATTTTTGGTTGAAACAGTCTTGGTCCTCACATGTTGATACAGCAACAAACAATATCCACTATTATTCTGGCAACACAAAAAAACATATTTAGTATTTTTGACAAATACTTTTTTTATTTAAACCATACAATGTAATTTACATGAATTAATATAATGGTAGGCACAAAAGATGGCCACAAATTATGTAATGCATTTTGACCAGCTAATTGTAAGCCATGTTAATTAATATACAAAATATTAAATAAGAATTCTTATGCAATTAACTACAATAAGACAGTTAATGGCAAATAGTCTATCACAAAAGAGACATATTATTTCATAGTACTAATTCAAAGATCCTCAGTTTCATCTGACTGAATATAGAAATGTTGAAGATACAGTAAGGTACTTTAGATTACAATACAATTAAATGGGACAATATATGTTACCAATTATGTATGGGTGTTGAAGGAAGATGAGGGGCAGAACTGGATGAAAGCTGGTTTTGTTAGACATAACAGATTGCTGTCTCAATTATGCTAAGGAGATGGTGTTTTTTAACAACAGCTTTGAAATGGTTGGCAGATAGGGAACCTTTCAATGCTTCAAACGGAGTTCCAGATCTTAAGGCCTTTTACGAACGTTGAATTTTCACACAGGTTGAGTTGGACATGGGGAGAGGATGTGTCAGCTTTTTTGTGCCTTGTTGCACCCATTAAGTGCACTGTTAGAAACAAATTATCTTTTTTGGACTTCTAAAAATCAGGCCTAAGTGTTAATGAATAGTTTTTATAACTTGACATACTGTTGAAGTGTGAGCAAAGTAACATTTATGAAGGGATTCAGGGAAACCAGTTAGTTGGACCAGAGTCCTGAAGGTGGGAAGTACAATTCCTGCACTCTGAAGGGTGGGTGTTGATATGCTGCAGTGTTTTAACTGTAGTGTAGGCATGCCTCTGGCAAGACAGTGATGGAGGGACTGATGACACAAGTGTTTCTTCTCTTTCAAGTCACCCTTCCTTGGTGGGAAATGGCTGAAGTGTTAATAAAATGTAAAATAGTTTCTACAGTGACTTAGTCAAATATGAAAAGTTCAAATTTTCATGTTATTTTGGGCTTTCTAATAGAAATGAAAATGTATATTCATAGGGATGTAATAAGGGAGGTTATTGTTCCAAAAGTACATCTCAAATCAGGTATAATGCCATAAAAGAGCCACAAATCTAGGAGCCAAGCACATATATAATGGCATTATACTATACATAACATTCTCATGGATCACTGCATAATATTGTATATAAGTCACAGCTCTAAGTGCCCACCTCACATATGGCTAAAATGATATTAAAACAAAAATCATGAAAAGGCTACTTTGTACAGTGGACCTCCAGTTATCGGCCGGTTTGGTTATTGGCTAACTTGGTTATCAGCGGGTTTTTCGGCGCCCGGTTATCGGCCGTTCACTCGGTTATCGGCGGTTTTGGATGCATCCATCCGCCTGCTGGGGCAGCTTGCGCTTCAGTTTGGCTTTGTCTCTCGGTGGCTGAGGAGGCTTCTGCTCATACATCCAAGCATTTCACTTGTTTACCATTGTTTTTAGTGGTTTTTCTTGCAGTGCAACTGTGAAATTAGTAACCATGGCTCCAAAGAAAGTTCCTAGTAAAGTTCCTGTGGTAATGAAAGTGAGAATTATTATTATAATCAAAAAGAAGCACTAAGCCACAAGGGCTATACAGCGCTGCAGGGTAGGGAAGGA